ATCTTTTGCTATAATTCTAATTTTCGGATTGCCTATCCAGATTGCGAAATCTTTTACATACTTCTTTTTACCTAGTTTTAACACTATGAGTTCAGTTTTGTTTGAATTTATTTCAATATCATTTAACTTATAAAACTCTTGTATGATATTGATTGTACTTTGCATGCTTTCTTGACTATTTGTTAACCATGTTGTGTTGTCCGTATATACTAATACTTTTACTCTAATATTTGCTTTAGTGTTCTTTGAGTTCTTACGTATTTCTGGATTATGTATTTTGTAACCTAGCTTAGCTTTTTGTACTCTACAGAGTAGAGAATCATAAAAAATTCTCCAAACCAACAAAGACAGTACTTCTCTTTGGTCTATACCATCTTCTGCTTTTATAAAATCTGTACTTTGTAATAGTGAAAAGTGGTGTCACTCTACCTGTGATTAGGTTGTGCCAGCATCATTATTTCTATTTTTAGTATAAATTTTCTATTATATGTATATCTTTGGTCATAACAATTGAGATTTCAGTTGATCTTTAGTATAACTGGGCAATATAGAATTATTATAAGATTATAATATATAAATATAGTATTTGAACTAATTTAAGCAAATTTGAGATTAGTTAAAGTTAGTTAAAGATTATAGCAAAGTTTATAGTTAGCTCTAGAGTTAGGGTTAGAGTTTTTTTATATTATAATTTTATAATATTTCTATATTGCCCAGCTATACTAAAGAAGATTCAGGATTTCCTTTTATGGTTAAGAAAAGTAAGCGAAGTGAGTGAAGTGAGCGAAGTGAACAAAAAGAATAAATTCAGTAAATTCACTTACATTTTAGCTTGTAAATTTAAGTATATAAGAGCATAATACTTATTTTGAATAAAAGATAACTTACTTGAGTTTGAAAACTTCGAAATCATCATAGTAGAAGTTGTTCTTTTAAAATATTGTCCCTTTTACTCAAACTATTTCTAGTAACCTGAATTCTGTCCCAAAATCATATAAAAGTTATCATTTAATAAAAAAAATCTTAAGAATAGTAAAAGTTTATATTTAAAATCTTTGAAATAAGAGTAGAAGTATTGTTCCTAACTTCTTTAAATCCATATTAAAATACAAAATACTTATCGAAGAATCTCTTGTTCCTGTGACTTTATATATCACCATTTCTTTTGGTTATCTCGAGCATAAAAAATGAAATATAATCATTTTATATAAAGAAAATACCTTTATTATTGCCTTTATATACTCAAGTTATCTGATTATTCAATAAAACCATTGTCATCACTAATTAGTATAACAATGATCAAACTAATTAGGATGATTTTCACAGTTTCTCATGACATAGTCAAATCCGTATCATCATTAGCAAAATCAAAATCTGATCACTGCTAATAATTACTTATAACATCAGTTAAATTAAGAATCTGATTTCTGACATCAATTTCCCATGATATAAATCATAGATTAAATTAAAACATTAAACTTTCGAGTGCCGCAGTTATACAAGTGATATAACATGTGACTGAAAAAACCAAAGCGTTTTAAATCAAAGATATAGAAGTATTGGAGTTAAAGTACTGGATATAATCAAAACAAGCAAATAATAAAAAGGATACAGAAGTCTTATCCAAGGTCATATACAATAATTTAAAGACCCCAAAGACTTTGAAACTCAGACCAAGTCAACCATGCCTCTATTCGAAGCCTTTTAATCTGAAGTCCTAGGAGTCTTGTATATTAACTTTAAAATTTAGAGCATTGAATTGGTAGATTATATAGTATTTGGAGAGTTTGGATTAGTTGTTAGTGTAGTTTTAGTGTTTAAAGTATTAGTCACACCATCTCAATTAGTAGTGACTGTGAGATATCTACTTCAAAAAAAAAAAACAAACCAAATACACCTATACTAAATTATTGAAACTGCTATGAAATTATGTCTGATTTAGATCATTTTGAAGACAATCAAACAATCGAAGGAGAGTCTGTCAACTACGATAATCCACCAGTATACCAAAACCAACCAGCTAGACCAAACTCTGCTCAAGATATTCTTAGAGAAATAGCTAGGGCTTTTAGAGAAGTCACTATTAACGACGTTTCTCCTACTCCTCGTGAAAACAACTAGATGCGCATAAGTACCTTTAAGGGTAAAGAAGACAAAGATCCAGTTTAGTAAATCGAAACTTTTGAAAGAGCGGCAGATACTAATAATTGAAGTAGAGCAAGAAAAATTAGAATTGCCTCCAGCCACTTGTCAGAAATTGCTACAAGTTGGTACAATGATAAAAAAGAAGACTTTCTCTTCTGGGATGTCGAAGATAATCCTGAGGATAGTTTCATATAGGCCTTTACCAAATATTTCACAACCCTAGAGCAGAAACATCAATGGCAAATTGAATTAACTACTTTGAAGCAAAAAGAAAACGAAAAAGTAGACAAATACACCTACCAATTCAAGAAACTCTTGAAAAAAGTTAATTCGGACCAATAAATCTTTGCCACCTATGTGGTAAGAATGTTTATAGAAGGATTACATAGCAAGATAGCAGTTCTTATGTTAGCAGAAGAGCTTGAAATCTTAGATCAAGCAATTGCCAAAGCAAGGAAAATAGAAGCTGACTACTATTATGAAAACAAATGCAGCAATAAACTTACTAATAAGCTAGTCAATAACTTAACTCAAAAATTACAGCAAATGGTCACCAATTATAAAAAAACTTATCACTACCTTGGCTGCCAGAGTTGAAATCACCCTGCAACTACCCCAACAATAGTATCAACCCTAACAAATCTGAAATAATAGGATCGAATACTATAACTGTCAAGGAAGAAGTTACATTGCTAGGAATTGCCCTCTAGAACCACGACAAAGTCTTCAACAACCTCGTATAGACTTTTGTAGGGCCACTATCTGAACAAAAAATGTTAGCTTATGTGATTTCTAGGACCAAAGCCCTGGAGACGAAGCATGTGCTGTTAAATGATGTGAAAGAATTGAAATAAAATCTAATAGGATAAACAATTCAGAAAAAGAGTTGCCTATAAGCCCAATCAGGTTTACCAGTCTTTTCAGCCCATCCCTATAAAAGAAATTGTGTTAGCTCCTGCCCAACTATCTATTTAGCCTCAACCAGAAGCTTCTAACTGAATTAGATGCAGAAAGGCACCCTTGACCAGTGTTGTACATAGGACAATTTTGGACAATCTTGGTCATTTTTTCAAATTAAAATTACTCAAAATTTTATTAAGATAATCTATTTTAATTTTTTTACCAATGAGTCCAGCACCCAAAAAAATATATAATTATATATTTTTTTAAATTACTTTATTGATTAGTTAAACATGGGACATAGGCTTGGATAATTTTGGACAATTTTGAACATTGGACATTTTACATAGTATAGACACGTCCCATATACAACACTGCTCTTGACTATTAATTTGATACTACTATATAACATTACAGCTAATTTTTTGAGGCAACATGCTAATGCCACTTATGCTTAACTGTTGCAAGTCCCAAAACAAAGACAGAACCTAGTACAAGCTCTGTATCACCCAATTGTAGCTATAGCAGAAAATACCAACTATGCAGAAAATAAAGCTACACAATGAACTACTTGGCCAAGTGTTATGTTAGGATTCAAAATAACACAATTTTAACTATACTAGACTCGGGTGCTACAGTTAGCATTATCTCAATGAAGCTAGCAAAAAAATTGGGCCTCACTATAGCAGAACTATCAAATACTACAGTTATCACTACTAATAGGTCTTGGGAGTGAATCTTAGAAAAGCTATTAGAGGTAAAATTAGCTGTTCAAAATATAGTAGTATCTATCAACTTTCAAATATTTAAAAATCTGATAAAATGATGCTTCTAGAGATGGATTGGTTCCAAAAAGTCCATGTCTGTCTCTACTTTGACGATAAGAAGCTTGTTCTTAGATATTTAGGCAAAAGTATAGAAGTTCCTATTTATTAGACCAAAGAAGACCAAGTAGAGCTACTTGAATTTATAGAGGAAGAAAAGAAAGACTTTTTTAACCAATATGAAGAAGAAGATAACATAGAAGAAATAGAAAGCTACTATATAGACGATAAGCTTACCTATAACTTATTGACTACAAATAACTCTACCATATATTTGATAGCTGTTGAAAAACTTCCAACCCTAGTAAAGGATGAACAACCTGAGTTAATACTAAACGAGATTATCAAAAAGCTAGTACAAACCAAGATATTAAAAGAAAACTAAAGAGAAAAAGCAAGACATATTTTAAAAAGGTTCCAGGAGCTCCTTTCTATGGGGCTACACCAATTGGGTCAATACTAAAAAATACAGCACAAAATCGATACTAATAATACTAGACCCATTAAGCAACATGCCTACTGACTCTTCCCTAATGCACAAGACTTCTTGAATAAAGAAGTAAAGAATTTACTAAAGAATAGATTAATCTACGAAGTTAAAAGCCCGTAGGTTTTGCTTGTTGTAATAGTGCCAAAGAAAATGGCAAATTACGATTATGTATTGATTATAAGAAACTTAATATGATTATGAAAAAAGATTCCTTTCTATTACCTCGAATTGACGACCTCCTGGAAACTTTCAGAAAGGCCACTTGGTTTTTATCATTAGATTTAGCCAGTAGGCACTAGCAAATCCAGATAAGATCTGAAGACCAAAAAAAGACTGCTTTTATAACAAAACAGGGCACCTACGCCTTCAGGATTATATCCTTTGACTATGTAATGCCCTGACAACATTTCAAAGTGCTATGAATAATATTCTCTATAAATATATTGGTAAATTTGTAGCAGTGTATCTAGATAACATAGTTATCTATTCAAAAATCTACTAGGAACACCTAACCCATCTTACAAAAGTCCTAGCTAGAATAGAAGCAGCCGGATTAAAATTAAACCCAGAAAAATATGAATTACTTAAAAATCATATTAGATTCCTGGGTCACGTAGTAGGAAAAGAGAGTATTTGACTAGATGAAACTAAAGTAAAAAAGTTAAAAACTTTGCTATACCAACCAGTATAAAATAATTAAGGGGCTTTATCAGTTTAGCCTCTTACTATTGACAGTTTATACAAGGTTTTGCTTCCATAGCAAAATCTCTATACAAGCTTCTGGAAAAAGACACTCTGTACAGGTAGGGCCCGGAACAAGAACAGGCCTTTCAAATACTAAAAAACCATCTTACCATGGCCTTAATTCTAAGATACCCCAACTTCGACAAAATATTTTACTTATATACTAATGTGTTAGGTGCTGGGCTTGATGCCATATTGGCACAGAAGGATGAAAATAAAAAAAAATACACAATTGTATATACAAGTAAAGGCTTTACCAGACCTGAGAGAAACTACTTGGCTACAGAACTAAAGTGTTATGCTATAGTATAGGCTATTGAGTATTTCCACCATTATCTAGAATACAAGCTCTTTATAGTTATCATGGACTATTTAGCTCTAAAATAGCTTCATGGTATGGCCCTAAAAGGAAGAAAAGCATAATGGATTCTTTGCCTTCAACCTTACTACTTCACTATAGTATATAGGCTAGAACAAGTTCATAACAATGCTGACACATTGTCAAGAATAGTTGAGGAACTTTTGAAGAATGAAAAAGAACAAAATAGAGCAATTAGCTATTATCAAAAAGCAACAGGTATAAAAAATATTGAAGGTTGTAACAAACCTATCCAAGAAGCCGAAACCATCGAAGAAGTGAAAGTATTCAGAGCAATTGCTCAAGAATACTTCCTGGAAGATTCAGACAAAGAAGTAAAAACAATACCTTGGGACAATACTTATGATTGGAGTAAATGGGAAGATAATGGTAAAGAAACAGAAAGCACTAATACCAAACCAGAGTATAAAGAGCTTACTACTCAAGAAATAGAGCATAAAAAATATATCCAGGATCTCCTAACTAAATTGGCTTTGAAATTTAGAATAGACATAACCTGGTCGATAAGAAATAGATATCAAAATAAATATACTAATCATCGGCCTGAAAATAAACCACAACTTATAGATTTAGGTAAAATCTATCTAATCAATATACCCCAGTGGGAAAACCACCAAAGGGCTAAAATTTGGAGACAGTAGTGATGATAAATATGAGGATATGGGCTATGGCTACTATAACTCACACCTAGATTTCAATCATTGTTAGTGAAATACCAATAAAGATAAAGAAACCTTTTCTGAATTTATTACTAACTTGAAAAACCTGGAGTGGTCACAAGAAATAGATGACTACATCAATTAGGATTATAATAACTCACAATAAAGGTGGCCCTGTGAAAAGTCATTTGACAAAAAATTAATTAGGGCCACTATAAGGACTAAAGGCTAATGATAGAAAATAAAGAGACTAATTCAAAAAAAAAAAAAACAAACCAAAAAAAAAAAAATACAAAAAAAATATATATATATATATAGAAAGCTTAGAACTTTTATACTCAATTTTTCTTTTAGTTTAACAATCAAAATATGATTATACAAATCTAACACTAAAGCAAGAATAGTCAAGATAGAATGGAGCAAGTTGTGGGGCTTTATTTAAAAGAAAATGTCTCACAAAAGATTAGCTATCAAGAAAAATACTAAGGAAGTATTCAAGGATGAATGTGGCAAGAACCTAAGCTAACTATACTAAGAGCCTAGATTATCTACTTAATAGTTACCAAAATATAAGCCTACTATCAAACCAAAGTTTTGAGGCCACAAAGAAGACACTTAAACAATCCACCATTCTGGCTAAAGAAGGCCAAAAACTGAACTAAGTGGGTAAAGTCAACTAATTATTATATGAGGAAAGCTTAAGAAGATGCTAGCAATGCATTTAAGCAATATAGTGCTAAATATTACCATCAAAACGGAATTGGAGTTGAAAAAGACCAAATATTGATGAAATCTAGAGATTAACCTAAAAAGCCACTAAAAGAAACAGAGCTAACAATAATAAGAATAAGCCATGTCAAAAATGCCATAGACAATTAAGGATTAGACTTAAAAAAAGTAAAAAACTAGATTATCCAGAAAATATAAAAATAGAAAATTAGTAATCTGAGAAACTTACAGCTAAGTTAGAAAGCATTGAATGAAAAATTTTTAACTATGAAAGCCCAAAACAAACAGTATAGAGCTATACTGAAAAAGTCTCAAGAAAAGATTAAAAGACATAGGCATTAAGCAAACTACCTAACATAGATAAAGAAAGATAGAAATAGAAAGATTGAAGAGAAACAAATAGAAAATACCACTTACTCAGAAGATACTATACATATACTGTTGAGCTAAAAACCTAATATAAAACTCAATCCAGCCCAGATTGTCAGTATTCTGGCCAAAATTGAAACTGAAGAAGACCGAATGTCAACTATTTAAAGTAAAACATGGAACCTCAAACATACTTAGCATTAAAAACATACCTTCAATATTGACGATATCTGCAGCTCTAAATAGTTAACAATGAAAACAGCTAGAAAGACAAAATCAATTTTTCCAAATTAAAGATGGAAGCCTATACAAGAAATCAAAAAAACAAAAGAAGAATCTCATAAGGGTGTTATGAGAAGAAGAGTTAGAATCAATTTTAACCTTAGCTCATAACCATCCCATAGAAGCTCATTTTGGAAAAATGCAATGTTTAACAAAACCTGCGATTATTATTACTAGCCTTAGATGTACAGTAATATAAGTGAATAGTGAGCAATATCAGAAGCATGAAAATAGGAAATCTAAAAAATTACTACACCCCATACCTGTTTAAGCTCTATTTTACAGAGTAGGTATTGATATAGTCAAACCTTTATCTATGACTTCATGCTCTAATAAATATATAGTCATTGCAACTGACTAAATGACAAAATGGTCTAAAGCTCATGCAATTTCCAGGGCCAATGCACAAGAAGTAGCCAAGTTTATCTATAATGACATAATCTGTAGACACATAGCTGTTTCAATATAATACTAATGGACTAAGGGTCACACTTTAATAATTACATTATCAATGAATTGCTTGCGGCTTTAAGTACTAAATATCACTGCTCTACCCTCTATTATCTCTAAATAAATGGGCTTGTTGAGTGTTTCAACAAGATCCTATGCAACTCTATTGTATAGTTGGTAACAAATATAACCGATTGGGACTTAATAATCTCATTGATACTTTTTATGTATTGTATGGCAAGACAAGCCACAACCCGTGAAATGCTCTTTTACTTGGTATATGGCAGATCAGCCCAGTTACCACTATATCCTAGTGTAACAGAAGACCTATTGAATATAACTATTATCTAACAATTATATAAGATTGACACTGATCTACCTGCTGTGCATTGGGCCAGATCAATGTAGCTTAGCAGAAACAGAAAGAATATCATGATTGATATACCAAAGCCACTAAAGACTTTAATATAGATGAAAAAGTTCTTATACTAGACACCAGGAAATTGAGTATATGTAGTAATAAGCTTATACCTAATAGATGAGGCCATATTATATTTATGCTAACCTCCCGAATAGTGCACATAAGATAAGAGAATTTAATGGAAAAGTACTGGCAAAGCCCCTAAATAAATCATTACTCAAGTCTTACTATAAGCAGAGCAACTAAAGGCTTTATATTAAAGCCCTATACAATGAGAGAAGATACCAAAAAGAGATATATATATAAAAAAAAAAAAATTGGAATTTTTTTTTTTAAAAGAAAAAAAGAAGATGGTAAGAAAAAAGAAAAGAAGAAGTAGAAGAAAGAAAAGCAAAAGTATTTAAATGTGAAAAAAGGACCTTTCTAGAAATGCTATTATAAGTACACAAAAGAACAATATAATCATAAAAACAAAATTACAATCATCTGCAATATGGACACTAAAACTTTGATTTAACAAGACTTATTATCCACTAACCCTGCTTTTGTAATTCCTGCACCTCCCCCATATAACGAAACTCAAAGCATTGTTACTCAATTAGCCCTTACTAGAAATGAGATAAAAAAGCAAAAGCCAGAAAAAATTGTATTAACGCCTTGGTTTATGCATTCTATTTTAGTGCTCATTTATTCACTGCTGCTCTAAATGAAAAAATGGCTACCAGAAGGAAGTATAGTGATTACTTCCTTTGGGCTACCACCTGTATTTACAATTTGTTCGAGCCCTTCAAAGTCGAACAAATTTATAGAACTACTTACATCCACCTTTCCAAGCTCGCAAGAACAATTTAAAGACTTACTTCAGGAAGAGCTTGCACTACAAGCTCTCTTTATCAGGGGAGAATTGTGATAGTGAAAAAGTAGTGTTACCCTACCTGTGATTAGGTTGTGCTGGCATTATTATTTCTATTTTTAGTATAAATTTTCTATTATATATATATCTTTGGTCATGACGATTGGGATTTTCTTTTATAATTAGAAAAAGTGAGCAAAGTGAGTAAAGTAAGTGAAGTGAGCAAAAAGAGTGAATTCAGTAAATTCACTTACATTTTAGCTTGTAAATTTAAGTATATAAGAGTATAATGCTCACTTTGAATAAAAGATAACTCACTTGAGTTTGAAAACTTTAAAATCATTGTAGTAGAAGTTGTTTCTTTAAAATATCATCTCTTTTACCTAAACTATTTCTAGTAACCTGAATTCTGTTCCAAAAAAATTATATAAAAGTTATCGTTTAATAAAAAAAATTCTAAGAATAGTAAAAGTTTATATTTAAAATCTTCGAAATAAGAGTAAAAGTATTGTTCTCAACTTCTTTAAATCCATATTAAAATACAAAATACTTATTGAAAAATCTCTTGTCCTTGTGACTTTATATATTACTATTTCTTTTGGTTATTTTAAGTATAAAAGTATCAAATAATAAAATATAATTTTTTTATATAAAGAAAATATCTTTATTATTGCTCTTATATACTCAAGTTACCTGATTATTCGATAAAACCATTGTCATCACTAATTAGTATAACAATTGATCAAACTAATTAAGGTGGTCATCATAATTTCTCATAACATAGTCAAATCTATGTTATTATTGGCAAAATCAAAATCCGATCACTGCTGATAATTACCTATAATGTTGGTTAAATTAAGGATCTGATTTCCAATATTGATTTCCCGTGATATAAATCATAGATTAAATTAAAACATTAAACTTCTGAGTGCCGCAGTTATACAAGTAATGTAACATATGATCAAAAAGACTGAAGTATTTTAAATCAAAGACATAAAAGCATTAGAGTTAAAGTACTAGATATAATTGAAACAAGCAAATAGTAAAAAGGATACAGAAGTCTTATTCAAGGTTATATACAATAATTTAAAGACCCCAAAGACTTTGGAACTCGGACCAAGTCAACTACACTCCATTCAAAGCCTTCCAATCTGAAGTTCTAGAAGTCTTGTACATTAACTTTAAAATTTGGAGTATTAAATTGGTAGATTATATAGTATTTAGAGAGTTTGGATTAGTTATTGTCACGGATGATAGTGAAATCGGATGATCGTGAAATCAAACCCTATTTAATATACGATTTTTAAAATTTTTAGTGTATATTTTTTTATACTTTTTTTTTAGATTTCGATTAGGATTTAGGGTTAGAGTTTATAATAAAAGAGTATAGGTGGGTTTTAGTAGAGTTTATATTTTTAAATTAAGGCCCCCAGATTTCACGATCATCCAATTTCACCATCATCCGCGACAGTTATTAATGTAGTTTTAGTATTTAAAGTATTAGTCATAACATCTCAACTTCCAAACTCGTTATAATGCTAAGCTGCCTATTCTCATATAACTCTATTATTATCTTAATTATTTTTGCTGGAAGTTTAATTCTTCTATAGCTTTTTTAGTGAGACCATATTGATGGAGTTGAAGACTTTCTTCATATTTTGAAGCATGACCCAGAGCTCTTTTTTCTTTCTATCACTTTTTCTATTATATTGTTTATTATATAGATAGAGGTTGATATACTTTTCTCAGACAAGCCTACAAAGTTTGCTCCTTTCTATATACTATTTTTGCTTAGTATTTTATCTAGCCTTATTTAAAGCATTCATGTTAAAACTTTTCTACATATTTCAAGTAATATTATAGGTTTCATATTGCTTA